ACGCTGGATTTGTTTTTGGGATTTTTCACATTTTTCCATGCCCTTCTCCCTCCGTGCCGTTCATTTGTTACTTGTTCGCACAGCCACAATTTCAGTCAGTGTTATTGTTATTAAGATTCCACACAGAATAATAAGTGGCAAACGAAGTTGCAGTTAAAGAATTTATTTGCACCGCAACAATTGATATATTCCCTCACCCCGCGAACAACGCGTTATGTTGGTATGGCACAGCACAGAAAACCTTAGCACCAGTTCATGGAATTCACGCGCGCGCTCACTCTCTACCGTTCTTAGTAAATGAAGTGAGTAAGTGCAACGCCTAATTGAATCCGATTTATAGTAACTGCAATAACAAAAAATAAAATGATGGATTGTGCTATTCACAAAGCCGCACTGAAACATAAGCGTATATAACATTGACGCTGCAGCAAAACACTGTAAATCTTATCACTTAATAGCATGAACCCTCTCTGTCTCTCCCGTTCCACTTCCCATTCTCTCTTTTTTCCTCTTAATGCTTCAATCATTTTAACAATCGCAATGGTGCAGGCAGCAATGGTAACCGTGCTGCAAACATTTTCACTGGAATTGTTTCGAATTGAATGAATGAATCCAGAGCGATGATTCAAAATGTTTGCGGAACACAATTTCTTGTGGCGTACAAATATTTTGGGTGAAAAATTAAAATACCAACATGGAAAATATCACATTTTATGACAATGGATGATCCGAATGATTGGCATTCTCATTGGCAATTTCTCGATGGTGTTAAATTATGGTAAATTTCCCAGAAAATCCGGAATACAAACTTTGATTGGTTAATCAAAGGTGGAAAATGGGTTTGAGTTCGTTGCGAAACCAGTTCAGTTCAGTTTGATTCGACGTTCATCGTTTGACCCAACGATTTACGCAACGAAGTGCTTGTTTATTTAATGGGACTTTAATTAAACAATGTTCAAATGACGACCGCAAATTGCCATAACGTATTTATATATATATATATATATCGGTGCGTTTTCTTTCTTACGTTGACTCTGTGGCCAACAGCAAGGTGCCACAGAACATTGTACCGTTCCCAAGTGTGGTAAGGTGTCGAAGTGGACTGTCTCTCAATGCTCAATAGAGAGTGAATGTCGTAAGTTAAGTGAAGCATACCGTGAAAAGGGATTGTAGCTTCGTGTGAAATATAACATGCAATAATGAATAGGCTGGCTGGCTGACTGAGAATGGCAAAGAGTGGGAAAGAGAGCGAGCGATGTTTAATACGTTTGGTAAGTGGTCGATAGAAACACCCTCAACATCAAACTCTCGCTTTGACACATAAATATCCAAAGCTGGATGATGCAAAGTACCTCAAATGTTCTCTCACTCTCTCTCTGCGTTCGGTGGTGGATGGCGAGCCACTCGATAAATATATTAACAGCAACATAAATTGTACTTTCTGGTTTGCTACGGTTATCCCTCTCCCTATTTTCTCTTACTATGTACACACGGTGCCGACACAGAAACCAAGACATCGACTGTGCTGCACACATTGCAATGCCAACAATGTAATAAACACACGAAAACTGCCAACTATTGATGCATTGAAGCTTAAAATATTTCACATTGCCAAACAGCTTCAACTCTTGGAATATCAAATAAAATCGGTGTGTCGGTCTGTGTGCGAGCACATCATGCGAATAATCTCTGGTAAATTTGCCGCAAATCCAAATGTTGGGCCAGGTAAAATGAGAATGGTATTTCTTTGGTCAGTTCGTGTGACGTGGTTTTGCAATGAATTCATTCAATAACCTTCCATTTGGTGCATATTGCGAATGCATGGGATTATTCAAGCCCGAAACAAAATACCCCATGTTGATCCGATTGCTATTCATTTTGTATGATTACCACGTCTTTTATTTACCTGCATCGGAACACATTTTTGCCTTGGAAATGTCTCGGTATCAAGAAACTATGCAATTCTGAAGACATTTTAAACATAGATTCACCTAGAATTCAATGTTCAAAATTGGAATTTCAAAGCATAACATACAGATAGCTGGACAGACTTCATATTTTGATAGCGATGTCAACAATTTATGTTCTATTTTCAAATTGAATGCATTTGTATTTTTAGAACGATGTCAAGGTTTCATTGTGGAACAATTTGCCATGCGTCAAAGTGATGACTTGGAAAAACCCATTGATGTTAAACACCATAAACATCAAACAATTTTATCATCTCGACCGGATTAAAAGAAGTGTCTGAGCTTTTCAATATTGAAAAATAATCGATTTGTTGCACGAGACAAATAGGTCGATTATCTCCGATGTGTGACTCTATTATTATTTTTGTTTATCACCCTCGCATTATATAGGATGCATATTTATTGACCAGTTTCTAAAATCAATTCAGTACGAATTTGTAATTTCAATTGAAAACAATCAATATCTTGATACTAAAACAGAACTTCAAAGTGTGTTTGTATATTGCTCCATTCCTGTTCGTTGCCGTTTTGATTAATACTCAGGCTTCACACGTTCACAGGTTTCTTTGAATTTAAAAATTAAATCACATAAATCGAAATTTCAGATTAGCTACTCGGTTTGGTGTTAATAACTGCCAATGTTACAGGCAGTGCAAAGGATCGTTCAACGCTGGTGGCCATTGTGAATACGTCCACCATAGAGGCTGGTGTTGTATATGCAATTAAAAGGATGACGTTTGATTGAAATAAACATGCAGAATTGTGACAAAAATCATGAAGATTTCAACGAAATTTTCAATACAAAGATGTATTGATCAAAATGTATTCGAATCTGTTATTTTTGTTGGTTTTGCTCAATAGCAACAATTTCGGCTATCTTAACCACCCAATTTTTGACTGAACATTTGTTGGTTTTGAGAATGCCTTTAATCAGTCGAATTAAAATCAAATGTTGATTCAAATGGCATTTACTTTATATCACTCGTAGCCTGACACTGCCCAGATTTTGTAAAAAGTATTAGGGGAAGCGTTGCATTTCGAGCGTATATAATTCAATTCAAATTTGTTTGAATTTATAAATAAATGTTAAAAGCACTTGAATGTTCAATGCATGATTCTTAGTGATAACAATTAAAACGCGAAATATGGTTCGTTTTACTCGGTTTTACTTATTCGGTTGTCGAAATCACTGCCAAACACAACACGTTGCAAGTCTGTAGGAATTTGGTGGAACATTTTATTTCTGGGCCAGAACATGTCGAGACTCTCTTTCCCTCCATTCCAAATAAACACAATTTTCGGTCGATGACTGAGAAATGTGACAAAAAAATTGAATTCCGATGCATTATATTTCCCAGTGGTTAAACTGCAAAATGGAACGATCATAATTGATTTATTCCAATCAATTCTTGAAATAGACTGGGGAGAAATGTGATAAATGTATGTATTTGCATATTTGCATGGTTAGCTTTTGAAATGTATGAGCATTGTGTCGACATCCATCTGCGCGACATGATTTTTAATGGAGCGAAAAAAAACTGTAGCTTGGCCGAGCAACAACAGTTCACACGAAATTCTGAACAAACATCCGAAATGTTGTACCATCTGAAAATAAATGCATGTAATTTACCATTCGATGGTATTTTTTGGTTGTTTTGTGTTCCATGGCGGCGGAGGAAGTCATGCTGTGCCAGTGCACCGTTGATATACTTGAATTGAATTCGAGTCGAAAAAAAAAGTTCCGAGTTCCAAGTGACAATTATACGGTATGAATCATAGACTTTATATTTGTGCCAGTGGGTTTCGTCGCAACGAGTCAATGGCGAAGATGAATTGGGGTTGTATGCAATCACAGTTCACGCCATCCGCACGCGCTCACACCATCAACGACAACAATAATATGTTCAAGACTGAAAATGTCGGCCAAGAATGAGTTTGGAATGTTTTCAACATTTTCATGGTATTGCTGCTGTTGCTCAATCTTCAGTTTAACCGCTGAAATCATGATCAAACGTGTGACTTGATTACATAATTAACATAACAAAGCGAACGTGAGGTTTTTGCGCTTCACAGCAAATTGGCACCGACGCAACCACTTCGTTTTCTATGGCTACGTGTACACCCAACACACTCATACCAAGGATTGGCGGGCGCGCGCACAGTGTGCGCCGCACACATACAGCGATGCAAAAATATCTGAAGAAAACAATGTGCAAACATTGAAAAATGTCTTCTCAGTCGGCATGAAATGGCAAGCCAAGCAGCAACTTCTGGAAGGGCACTTGTATGTTCTTCTCAAAACTTATTCCAGACGCGCATGTTGATTGTGTGCGTGCAATAAATTCTCTCCGGGTTATATGGTCCGTGTCAATTATACGATCACAAATAATTTGTATCGTTAAACCATAAAACCGACGACGATACAGCCAAAATATTATGTATCACGTGCACCACCCGAGTTTGCTATAGAGTGTTACGGGTTACACGAAAATATGCAGATTTATACAAAGTACGAAGACTTACTACGCTAACTAACGACAAGCAACCGGTTGACAAACAGTTAACGATGCGATACAATAAATGTACACATTTTATGAGTCCGTATACTCACTCTCTCATGCCAATTCCATCTTCTGTCTTCTGCACCGCACGCACACTTTGTTCAGTGCCATCGAATATAGACTCCGAGTCACAAGTTCATTTTCTATTAAATGATACCATGAAGAAGAGAAAACGGTGTACAGCTGAACATCATTATCCCACAAATAATTTGTCACAAATTATGCCACCGGAATATTTTGTTGAATTCAAGTTGTATAGGTATAGTTGTATCAACTACGATTTGATAAATCGACTTAATGTTTCAATGCCACACCAAGAGGTTCGTACCTCATTCCATTCACCATGCCATCAGAATGTGCAGAGAACATTGAATGGCTACACAATTCTTGGAAAAGGAACTACACTCTACTCACCAATTATTTCGAAGAAACTTTATCTGTAATTAAAATAGCAAAAACTATACACTCCTTCATGTTCATGCACCACTTTATATATTGAACTTTATTACTTTGTAAACATCACATTTCATTTTTGGAATATTACATGAGCTGAAAAAAATGATGGGAAAAAACGGAATGACGTATGATATTTTTTGGATTTGCAACGATTTTGAACCATTTTGATGTAAAATATTGGTTAAACACGAACATTTGTAAAAATCGAATACGAAAATAGAAACTTATGAACTACGACAGGTTTTGTACATGTTTAGTTTTGAGAAAATGGAAAAAAAAATTCGATGATTTATCGCAAATTAGCCTGAATTATTGTTGAGTATATCCTGTGATTTAACGATACCGCGCATCTCAGCCTTCAGTAGATGCATATAAACGACTATAACAATACCAAGCTCCGTGCACCAAATCATGTTACCGTATTTCTTCAGCAACTTGACGCATGTTTCCTTCAAAATATCGAATCGTTTGCTGTCGATGCAATCGCTTTCAGATCTGATTTCACAGGATTCGATCAATTCAAAGTCTGGATCGGATGAGAATGCCAGAGTCTCCGCTTCAGGTGGTCGTAACCCCTTGCACCGTTCACATTTGCAATCGATTTCACTCATTCTCTGATAATATTTGGTTGGGTCGTTCCAATGAAAACTATAGTTGGACACGAACAACTGCTGACCAGCTTGGATTGGACAAATGACAATGTAGATGGTGTCTCCGTTTCGATCGATTGGCCAGACATTGGGAGAACACGAGTGGTGGAAATAACCTAGCATTACACCAACTTGTGAGTACAATGTTCGTTTTTCAACCTTCTTATTTCCATCTTCCATATCTTCAACAGCGACATATGCTTGACGTATGTTGATTTCAACGTGATGACCGACGAGATGCATGAGGAAACGACGGTGTCGCTTTGATGTGAACATCGTTTGAACCTGAATTGAAAATTTTCATTCAATTTATTAATGAAATCATTCAAATTGTGTCTTAAAATGAATCAATTCAAATAGACAAAAACAAATCTGATTCCGACTTAAAATGTACATTACCTTTGGAATTTCCAGTAAAATTTTGTACACACCAAAGACAATCTGGGGAAATTGTACGTCTTTCGACTCGGCTGTGTTCTTGGCCAGCTTCAAAAATGCTCGGTACTTCGATCGATCGTCTCGGAGTGTGTTTGGTATTTCGAATTGATCGCTGCCGATGCTTTGCTCAACAAATTCCATCATTTCCGTGGCATCCGCAAATAAATTCATCGCCACAAAAAATGTTCGCAACTCTTGCATTAGGTGATTGTTGAAATTGCTGTACAACGATGTCTTCATGCCACATTCGTATTTGTGTAGATTGAAGTCGCAATCGTGGCAAAACATTGCTGTCGTGCATCGTTTGCACGGTACCAAGTTTGTTTTGCTTTTCAGGCAAATCACACATTTCCATCCGTAGATCGTGAACAGTGTCTTTGTGAATCCCTTGTCAATAGCAACAATTTGTCCAACATCGATGTTCTGCCTGGCAATGATCGCATGTTTGTTGTCAGCACTTTTTGTAATTTCCACAACATTGGCCATACCCGGGAACCGTCCGTCTTCCATGAAATCCAGTTGCATTGTGCGTTGTTCGCTCTGCATTCCGTTTGTAATGTATTTCTGGCAACTCAATTTTCGCTTCTTCAATTCCGGAACCAATCGTTTTGGGCAATTATTCTCAATTGCTTTTTGAATGTCAATCAAACAGCGATCGTACAGTCTCATGTTGAAAAAACATGCCGAACGGTAGGCAAACGTAAGACCCACACTTTTTGATTCCTTCTCAGCAAAACACAAGGCTTCGTTGTACCAATCAATTGCATCCTCCCAGTTGCGTTCGTCAAAATATGCCTTGGCCTTTTGTCGCTTCTTTCGAGACACTTCATCACATTTTGCATAAAGCGATTTCATCTTTTTGTGCGCATTGATCTCTGCACGCAAATCCTGGTATATATCGTCCAAATTCCCCTTGGATTTTTCCACACACAAATTGATGTACAACGCACTTTTATTCGTTGACTCTTTTTGCCACATGATTTTATTTGTCACATTTGATTGGAAAGACGACTTTTTTTTACAGCACAAACCGTTTGAAATCGGTTGATCAACTATGTTTCAAAAGTTTAACTGGCATGCAACGCAGTTTGTGTTTGACTGACAGAACTCTTCCTTGCTGTCAAACTTCTTCGAATGTGATGACAAACACATACAGTCGTCATGACGTTTCTGCCGGCCACAATACAAACACCGACAGCTGTGAGCTAGTGTTTGTTTGCGGCTTCTTGTTCGTATGGTTGCGTTATCGTTTTAGTCTTCGCTGCAATCTGAAACCTTCATCTCAGCTAAAACAGCACCATACACAAAGTATTGCATGCTCCTGCGGAGAAAGGGAAAAAAAACAATGCGATTAATATAAACAAATCCAACGACATCGGCTCAATGTACGTATTCTGAGTCATTATTAATGTCCATAACGAAACTAAAACGCTTGCAACAACAATTTTATTGTTTGAATGCGAATCGAAGAAAATGTAAACTGTCTCAAGCATAACGAATACTCAATTTCAGCTGATTTTTTTTTGTTTATTTTACGCTATGTTTAGCTTATGTCTTGTTCACACTTCTTATAAAGAAGGAACAATAAGAATAAGATGTGACTAGAAATGTTTCTCAAGTACTTTTCCACTTACCCATTTTTTTTCATCTTCCACTGTCGAGGCAATTAACAATGTACATACAGTCAAATTTTGCTTCATTTAGTTTTCTTAATTTTGGGAAATAAAAATGGTTGGACAATTAGAATCGAGCTCATTTCTTGGTGATTCTCTTGTGATTCGATGAAAGAGACTTATTGCTTTTGATTGTAGAAAGAGACTTCTGATTGTTCTTTCTATCGGCTTTATGATGTCATCACAAAGTGTTTTTTTTTTCGGTTTTCATCGAGATTTTTTCGTAATATTATTTCGAAACATTTCATTGTTCCACTTTTCCAATTCAAAGCCTATTGAATTTGTTACACAAATTTTTTAATGCATAGAATGTTATGTTGGCATTAGCATAACGGACTGTTTGAAATTGAGGCGGGAACAGGAGAGAAGTAGAGAGAAACAAGAACAAATGAGTGTAAATGAGTTAGAGAGAGAGAACAAGGATTGAACAAAGTTCAATGACCATCAATCCTTATTTCATACTCATATTCAGCGAGTCAGATTGCCGGATGTCTGGATGTTGTTGTCGTTTGCCACGGACATACACTGCTGAGTACAACAAGTACACAATTCATGTCGCACATAGACTGTGATGAGATTTGTGACCTTTTCCAATGAAAACTTTGCCTGCACAACACACAAGCAAACATCGAACCAACAGATAATTCCATCAAAAAAGTTTCCACTGTTGTTCAGTACCGAGACAGTGATGAGATAGATGTCTATTTTGCCTTTCTAATTACAAAAAGTTGCCAAATGTTGCTGTTTGATCTATGGCTAATGGAAAACACCATCGAATATTTCATTGAAATAACTCTGAATTTCTTATTTACTTCCAACTCTTTTATTCTAATCCAGTCGAAGTATTTTAATATCACGTACGTCTTTCGGACAATGTCAGTTTAAGTGTCTTAAAAAAAAATTTGGATATTCATATTACTTTTTCACAATCATTTAATGAATGTTTGTCGGTAAATTGCTCTTTTCTTTCATTTTTTTTTCTTTTCGGGTTTTTTTCCTTTTTTTCTGCTACTTTTTCCTCAATTTCTTCTTAATGAATAGAATAAATATATAAAAATATCAAAACTAATTCCGATCGCTATTGCTAAATCCATAAAAAATGTGTCATCAATCAGTCAGCTGAAGTTTCATTAAACCATTCAAATTTTTTTCAATCAATTGCGAATTCGGTAATTTGCCCCAATGGATTTCCAAGTTTTCGATAAACTTCTTTTTATCGTCGAATTTTTTGTCGCAAACGCAGCATTTGAAATGTTTCAGGCAAGTCATATGCTGCTTCATCCCGCTATCCACATAGCTTGTAAAATCGCAAAGTGGACACTTCAATTGTTTTGGATCTGTGAAGAAAAAATCAGATCAATTTTCGAAGAAAAAAGATGTGCTTCGAATGAATGCTACAAAATAGTATTCGAAACATAAATATTTTGCCAAACAACATCGACAAAATCGAGTATACTCAAAATAACTACCTAATCGATCACACTCCACCGTTTTCTGTCTTTTCTGAGTCGTCGAGTTATCCGATTGGGTCGCTTTCCTCTTCAGGTTGATAGACAAGCTCGTCTCTTCATCTTCTGAAGTGCTGGCTTTGCTCAGTTTTTCCAATGGAACCACGGCAATAGTTTCTAAAAGTGAATATCATTAGCAAACGATCGATGTTGCTTTGAAAGAATTATCAATTACTACCATTTTCACGTTTTTCTCCTTCTTCTTCTTCATTCAATTGATTGATCTGCAAAGGGCGCCGAATAGTCGCGTCGTTTGAGAATGAATCCCAAGAATTGGACGGAAAATCTGTTGCCTGACTGTCGGCTCTTGTGTTATGCCGAGCAATGTCACCGGAACTTCCATTGCCTGGTGCCCGAAACAATCTTTGTTCAGGAATGAATCGAACTATTATGCTTTCAATGCTATGAAATCAGCGGATTCACAAAGGCATTTTTTTTAGATTATAAATTCAACATCAATCAACGAATTTTCACCAACTTACTGTGTTCGAATAGTTTCGCAGCAATAATCCCAGAAGAACGGGTCATTGTGAATAATAATCTCCATCATTTAATCCAAGAACTGCTCTATATCCGGTTTGACATTCATTTCCAACATGCTCTTATAATGGGTCACTTCATTGTTTGAAGCCATTTTCTGTTGAATGTAGATTTTGAGGGGGAAAAAACAAATTGATACGAATATTCAAAATCTTCTTTTTCGAAATAGATCATCTAATCGGTCCATTGATTATTCATTGACGAATGAATCAAATAATTTGTACCCTGAATAGCAAATGAATGTTGCAATAACAAACAACTAACCTTACAAAAAAATGCTGGTGATGAGTGACCGATAACGTTGAGTGGCGTGACTGAATTCACAAAAACACGGCAACAATTTGTATTTTGATCTTGGAATCAGCAATAATTCAAAAGATCCTCATTCAATTCACACTGTTTTATATTAATGTATGTGACAGCTCTTACTCTTCTGTTTTTGACACTAAAACAAAAAAAAACGCTCTGTCGCCGGCCAATGAACACTCCACACAGAAAAAGTATTTAAAGCACCGAAAGTTCACTACTCTTCATACAATCGTCTTGTCTTTGTGTCGTAGTCTTTCTTTATGTCTCTTGACAATTAAACGTTCAATTTGTGCAAACGGATGCGAAACGTACAGATGATTTCTTTTTCAATCTCACACACATTGACGTTCACACTTCTCACAAATACCACCACAGATAAGAGCTCTCAAGCATTTTGCCACTTACTTTCATATCATCGATATTTTTCATCTCTGTCTGTTAGGGCAAAAAAAAATGAATTTAAATTCCGATTGGAAAAAAGCAATAGGAAATTTCTTGGAAAACTCGAATGAAACTCTTTTTTCTTATTTCGAACTAAAAATTTTTTAGTTTCAATTGATAACACTTTTTGTTGATAAACTCACATTCGCTTGTTGTCGTTGAATTTAGGTACAAATTGCTTTTGTATATTGGCTTAGCGTAGGACATATTTCGAACAATTTCTTTTTTAATGATTTCTTATTAGATATAAATTCTATGGGTGAGATTGAGAGTAGTGCATGTTTGATTGACTTTGTTACGAAAGAGAAGAGCAAGTTTCTGTCGACTTAAAAATGGTTAAAAGCGAGTATGTTCGTTTTTAGCGGGTCCTCGCGGTTTTTCACGTTTCCGCGGAACTGATAAGAGATAACAACTTGGCGTCTTCGGCAAAGTTGTAGCACTCGAGGTCTTCTATAACATCACTTAAAACAGTTATCTCTTATCTCTTATTAGTTCCGCGAAAAGCGCGAAAAATGATAAGAAAAAAAAAGTTCTATATAAAATTTGCTTTTTTATGTGAGCGATTTGCGCGCAACTGATAAGAGATAAGAGATAACTGTCTTCAGCTTAGTTATAGAAGACCTCAAGTACTACAACTTTGCCGAAGAAACCATGTTGTTATCTTTTATCAGTTGCGATAAAACCATGAAGACCGCGGAAGCTAGACGGTACTACAACATACTCTACTTTAACGCCAACAGAATCATCAGAAAACATACTCGCCTTTTCAAAAATATAAATCGAAGAAAAAACATACTCCACTCTCAATCTCACCCATAGAATTATTGGGTGCGTAACAAATGCCAAACAATACGAACTGTTTGAGCTTCCGTTTTTTGCAAATGATGACAATTTAAAGTATAAAATGTAACGTTTCATCTGCAATGAGTTTCAGAATAAGCCTGACATACGAAAGTTCAACAGTTTTATGTAGATATTGATAACACGGCCAATTTCATCGCACCATATCACATCGCCGTATTTCCTCGAAACCGCTTCACATTTTGCAATCATTTGTGGCAGTTTATCGACATCGCTCTCTGTGATTGGATAGCTGAATATGATGTCATGAAAATCTGGATCCGAAGCAATTCGTTTTCGTTGGGCCAACGTTGCCGTATGTCCTTCACATCGTGTGCATTGACAAATGAATTGTTTATTCTCCCATAATTGGCGTTGACGGGTTTCCTTAGAATCCAATAGCATATCATAGCATGAAATGAGCAGGCGTTCACCCATTTTAACTGGCCGAACGGTAACGCAGATGAGATTTCCATTGGTTTGTGACATTGTTGCATTTGGCGCACACGAGTGCTTAAGGTACTTGGTGATTGCGCCAGTTTGAGTGTAAACCAATGCATACTCCTTACGCCGAACCACTCGAACCTCTTGCAATGAGTTTTTCGATGTGACTTTCATGCAATGAGTAACGAAATGCATTAAAAATCGGCGATGTTTGCGCGATTCAAAAATTGCTTTGATGCCCGGGATGTTGAGAATGAATTTATAGGTGCAGTAAGCGATAGCAATGAATATGTCATCATCGTCATCATTGGCAAGTGGTAGCTTGAGAAATGCCCGATATTTTGACTGTTCATCGATCAACGAGTCGAGCAATTCATTTGGATCGCTACTGATCGTTTGCTCAACGAATTCCATTAGCTGGTCGACGGTTGTAAATGCATTCACACCCAAAATGATTGCTCGTGCTGCTTCCAAAATGCCACCATTCAATGATTCGTCTTCGCTGTACCTCAAGCCACACTCGTACTTGTGCAGAAAGCTGACCTTGCATTCATTACTGCAGAACATTGCCGTCGCACAATTTTCACACGGGACGAGATTGGTGTTACCTAAAATGTCAGTAAAGTTTATGAAAAAAAACATTGTAAAGTAAGAAGCTCACTTTCTTACTCTATTGAACGTTTCGAGTCCATTTTTGTTGATTTGCAGAACAAATGCACTTTTGTTCCAATTGGGAAATTAGCCAAATTGTTACAATTCTTGTATCTTACCTTTCAAACAAATGCTGCATTTGCGTCCATATCGCAGTAGACACTTGACGAATGCCGATTCCACCACAATCGTTTGACCAACATCAATATCTTCCTTCGCACAAAGCGCATAATCACCATCATCACCTTGCTCGAACTTCAACACATTGGCCATGCACGGAAATTTCTCGTCAGCTTCATAGCTTAGCTTCGGTTCGAAGATTTGCAATGACTTTGCTGCTTTTTCGATGCTCTTCAAACAATCCTCTTTGCGTTGATTCAATTTTTCCATCAAATCCATTGGATAGCCAGCTTCTTTGGCCAATTCAATATCAATGAGGCACTCGTTGTACAGTTTCATGTTCAAAAAACATGACGATCGATTCGCATACGCCAAACTAATGTGTTTTGATCCATTTTTGGCAAAGCATAAACTCTCGTTGTACATTTCCATTGCTTCGGCCCATTCACGTTGACCAAATAGCTCATTACCCTCCTTTCGCTTACGCAATGCAACCGTATCGGACTTTCTGGGCGGTGAACATGCTTTCGATTCAATAAAATTCACCGGACGCTGCAATTTATTCGATTTGAAAATGTCCACGAACAACGCATTTTTCTTATTCGACTCCTTTACCCATAGCATGATTAAATCCTGAAAATATTGACAAATACACAAATTAGATCGGGAATATGATAGTGTAGTATGAGTTACGCACTGTTTAATCACACAGAAAACGAAAATTTGTCCGGAATGCAATAGATAATCCTCTGACAATAGAACTTTCTCGCCACAATTCACACGAGTGTTGTCCTTTCTCTCGCTGTTGTTAACACTGTTGCAGCGAAAAATCGTTGATGCGCCTGATGGTTATGATCAATGGCTATGAACTGAAAATAATTGGAAAATATGAGAATTATTTGCCTAAAATCGATGTAGAGACTTTTTTTCGTTATATTATTTACAGTGAATGCGTTACGTGCAGAACAAAAAAGACAGACGATAACCAATTGACTATGAATTGCGCATCAATTGACAAGTGTGTTTGAATGATGCCAACGCTCACGTGGCAAACTGTTGAACTCAAGTCGCCGTGTCAATACCGCATCCATCACTCTGATTAGCTGTTCGATGTGATCATCTTTATTCGCGTTTGAGTGTGTGCGACCTGCACATTTTTGAATGTTTTGATACGCAAATCGCCAAAATTAAACGCACACAATCAAAAGCGCACCACCGATGAATGTGTTGATGTGTCGTCACTCTGAGCAGCGATGTTCGAATGTACTTCTGAGTAAAAATGAATATGCTTGTGACAACGATAATGAAACAACAAACAAAACTTACTACGATTTCCGTTGATGCCAAAATAGCGGCATTTTCGAATCATTTTATTCATCAGATTTCATTATCATTTTTTTAGGTTTTATTTCCATATTTTATCTTCTTGTATCGCATATAATCAAAACTTCATTATTCTTTCAAACAAATTACTTCTTGAACAATTTTTCTCACTTCATTTTTTTATGATTTTCTTCGTCATTTTCTTTTCGTTTACCGTTTACTTTTTCTAATTGGAAAATGAATCGTTTTCTTCTCTTCACTAAAACTCTTCTTTTCGTACAGTTCCACTTGAATTCGATTGGTATGTTGACTTGTTGACTCAACTTAGACATAGAAATCGCTGTTTTCTTCATATTCAACGCATCGCCACGGAACATTACTGCTGGCAACTTTTGTGGCTAACGTAAACTTGTAGGCGTTAACGACTTTTCCGATTTGATTGCTCCATGGAACTTGAGCGTACCGCTTCAAAAAGGCCGTGCACTTGTCCAATACCTTTTGTTCGCTTTCCTTGCTACCTGATGCGAATGTATCGTAGTGATATGCGATGTATCGATAGTCGGGATCGTCTTTCATTCGTTTTTGTTGTGCCAATGATGCGCTTGTACCTTCACAGAATGAGCAACGGCAAACCAATTCTCGCTGTTCCCACAGTGCCTTTTGGCGTTCTTGTTTGTTCGGAATCAATGGCCAGAAGTATGACAAGAACAATTGTTCTCCCTTCTTCACCGGTCGAGCTGTGATGAACATCATGTCGCCGTCGTAATCAAAATTTACCACATTAGGATTGCACGCATACTGAAAATAACGAGTCATCAGTCCAATTTGGCAGTAGAACGGCTTTGATGTACCATCTCGCATTGGCACATTCAAGTTGTACGCATTGGAATTCGAAACTTTTGAATGTTGACCGATGAGATGCATCAAGAAATGACGATGCTTCTTCGATTGGAACATGGCGCTGATCTTTGGGATTTCCAACAGAAAGTTGTAAATTCGTTGCACAACCGCTGACCATACCTCTGATGCAACGAATGTCTTTCCGATTTTCAGTTTCAGATACGTTTCGTACTTCGATTTTGCATCCGTCAAATGCTCTGGCAATTTCTTCGGGTCGCTGGCAATTGTTTCTTCGACGAAATTCATCAGATCATCGGCGCTCGAGAACTCGGACATTTGAATTACCTGCAGAAGCAATCGTATCTCTTTCATATTTATTCCATTGATGTGAGTATCGTCCGAAATACCCTTGCCACACTCGAACTCGTGCAGAAAATTCTCCTGGCATTTTTTGTGGCAGAACATTGCACTCGGGCAAACGTTGCACGGAACCAGATTGGTGTTTCGTTCCAAACACAGATTGCACTTCCATCCTGGTCGCACGTAGAGATACTTGCTGAACGCCTCTTCGTACGCAATCGTTTGGCCAACGTCGATGTCTTCTTTGGCTACTATGGAATAATCACCATTCGAATCTCGTACAACCTTCAACACATTTGCCATGCACGGCAATTGCTTGTCTGCTTCAAAGCTCAACTTTGGACCAATCTCCTTTTGTGCACCCGCTTCAATGAGCTTCAGACACTCCGCTTTGCGATTATCCAACTTTGGCATTAAATGCGCCGGATAGCCAGCCTTTGTTGCCAATTCAATGTCAGTGAGACATTCATCGTACATGTTCATCTTGAAGAAACATGCCGATCGATTTGCGTATGCCAAACTGATGTTTGTTGATCCACTTTCAGCATAGCACAGGCACTCATTGTACAATTCCATTGCTTGAGCCCAGTCACGCATACCAAACAACATATTTCCACGCCCTCGTTTTGTTAACGAAACTCGGTCGCTCTTCTTTGGCATCGTTTTTGTGTTTGCAAACAACGTGTTGTAGGTTATGTTGACGGATCGACCACTTAGCTTCATTATATCCACGTACAATGCGCTCTTTTTGTTTGACTCTTTTGCCCACAACATGATGACAGTCTGGAAAAATCAAAGAAAACACACAAATTAAATCGGGGAAAAAAAGATTTGTTCTTTCTCTTTGTAAAAATTACGCACTGTTTAACTACACAGACAATGAAACCTCAGGCGATAAACAATTGAATTTGGACAGAACAAAAACAGTTGACTATAGGAATTTTTTCGACGTGTTTTCTCGCACAAGCGTTATTGTTGCAATAGTGTTTCTTTCTGTGCCGTCAACACTGTCGCAATAATCGAATGGTTCGATGTGCTAATGTCTTAGTGTATTTGAAGGGAGCTCAATTTGAATTGCCATGCGATGATGTTGAATGTGAATGTGTTGAGACGAACCACTTCAGATTGTGCACACAGCAGAGATACCACAATGTAAGCATAATATCAGTTCGTGTATGCGTGCAACGATATGATGCCCGACTAACACAGTTACGACGTCTTTTTCGACACATTTGTTGACACAACGATGAGCTATGATATTCATTTTCATGGATTCAGCGGTTGATTTAAATTGTTTAATAAAAATATTCGAACGCTTCTCATCGGATTCAAATAATACATTGACTCGAAATGAATGTCTTCATTTGACGACATGATTTGTTTACTTACAAAACCAAACGTCTTCATTTTAGTGGAACCATTAGAATAACAAAACCGATTGTGCAATTTAGAATAAACACTTCCAATAAGACGATTTTGTGTACAGTCAGCTCAAGTCTTCCTATGAAAAAGTGATTGTTTACTGAAAACGATTGTGTTGCTCGTCATTTTGTCTGTATAAACAAAAAATGGAAAGTCACAAAAATAAGAGAATGATAACACGACTACGATGTGATGCGTTTTGCGCATTTAAAATGAATGATTTTATTTTTATTGTTTTTCATATGATTACATAAAAATTCTCTCTTCTTATATGAATATCATGTGTTGAGTAGAACGTTTTTTTGTTGTTTCAAAAGTAGAAAATTTAATGAAATTATTGAAAGCGATATGAATCTGAATTCGAACATAATTTTGTAGTCTTACTCATCAGATAAACTGTCGCTAACAATTTCGGCCCAGGCACGAATGTTCGTCGAATTGGTATATTTGAACCTTAACTGCATACAATAGCCGTCCAATAGGTTTTTCATTTCTTTGCACAATGGACCGTGGCCATGTTTCTGCAGAATTGTGGCGCATTTATCAAGACAATCGAAACCGCCAGATCGATAAAGTGGATCGGATAGCAATTGTTTACGTTGCTCTGGTGTGGCTTCTGGTCCAGTGCATAATGAACATACACATAGAAAATTGCCTTGTTCCCACAAGATGCGCTGACGTTCCGCCTTAGGTTTTGACAGCAAATCGAACATGGTGACAAACAGTTGTTCTCCCTTTTTGACGGGGCGTGTCGTTATGTACAGCGAATAACCGTTATTATCAATCCACAGTACGTTAGGAGCACACGAGTGTTCAAAGTAACCCTTCAACATTCCTGTGTGGGTGCATACGTCAGTTCGTTTTCGTGGAGCTGCTTCGACCGAACAAAGACGGATTCGGATCGAATTTTTACTCATGATCTGAACATGTTGCATAATGAGATGTATGAGAAAGCGATTATGCCTCTTGGCCTTGAACATCGCGTTCATCTTCGGCATATCCATGAGCATTCTGTAAGTGCAGAATGTAATCAACCAAAAATCGTCTTTGTTCGTATTTGTCGGATTGACTGGCAGTTTAAGGAATGCGCGGTACTTCGACTTCTCGTCCAAAAATGCCTGTGGAATTTCCTTTTGATCGCCTTGAACGGCTTGCTCAACGAATGCCATGAGCTCATCGATGTTTGGAAACATTTCGATCGCCTTGAATATCATTCGCATCTCGTTCATAATGGCACCATTCGTTTGAGTTGATCTACAGAACCTTTGGCCGCATTCATACTCGTGAATAAGACTCGCTTGGCACTCGTTTGAACAGAACATTGCCACATTGCATTTGTTGCACGGTTTCAAATTGGCATCTTCTTTCATGCAAATGTTGCACCTCCATCCGAATTTTGAGTACAAACAAGTGGCAAACGATTTTTCCGCCGCAATTGTTTTGCCAACTCCGATGTCCTCCTTGGCCACCATTATCAGATTGCCTTTGGCATTCTTTTCGATTTTCAATACGTTGACCATGCATGGGAAATTTTTATCTGCTTCGAAACTTAGCTTCAAACGATCATCCGGCTCTTGTGCTCCTTCTTCGATAAGTTTTAAGCAATCGGCCTTACGTTTCTGCAGTTTCGGCATCAAATGTGCTGGATAGCCGGCACTTTCAGCTAGTTCGATATCAACAAGGCATTGTGCATACTTTTTTAGGTGGAGAAAACAAGCGGATCGATTTGCATACGCCAAACTGATGTTTTCCGATCCCGGTTCAGCATAACATAAACTGTCATTGTACAGCCCTGACGCGGATAACCAATCATCTTTCACAAACGATTGGTTTCCATCCAATCGCCTTTCACGTGAAATTGTATCACTCTTAGCGCACGATATATTTTTTGCGGTCTTTCGCTCCTGAGAATATTCACGGTTCAAAGAACCAAGCGATTTGAATGAAAAAGCATCCACATACAACGCGTTATTTTTGTTCGATTCTTTTGTCCACAGCATGATGAAATACTTCGATGAGAAACAGTGACAGTGATTCTAAAAAATAAACATTTTCTCCGGATGAAATCTGATGTAATTTGATTCCATTTTCAATACATTCAATTGCTTGTCTGATTTACTTACGTTGAAAAAATGACACAAAACCGTTTTACGAAATGAAAAATACGATTTTGCTTGCAAGTTAGCTATTTCCAAAATGTCTGCATGTTGAACGTTGAACGTTGAACGTTGAACAATTTTTATAGAGTGTAGACGAAACGATTGATGAACGATGAATTGCGAGTAGCGAATAATGAACAGCGAATAGTAAGCAGCTTGAATGTATTAGTGTGTGTTTGCCATGAATGTACGGGAGAAATATGTAGAGAATGAAGGTGAAATGGCAAAGAATAGAACGTTCGTAATCAAAGTGACAGCTTTGACGCTTATTTTTGATGCTTTTGATTTTTTCCGTTAGGGTTTCTCAATGGAAACATTTCCGAGAACATTGCTTCTACTCAATTCTTCCGACCACAACACATTGATACACTTGCAATGTTATTTAATGTTTATTCTTCATAAATCTAACGGCAGATATTCGATGGTCACTCAATTTTATCCAATTTAACAACATGAAAATCCATACAAATTTTCATTATTAAGATTATAACTACATTATTTTTGTGTGTAAATTGTCAGTAAATTGAATGCTTATCTACCTTCAATTTTTAACAAACAAAAAAATGAGAGCCGAATTATGTTGCTGCACATACAAGTTACTTACGTCAGCTTTGGTCATTTCAATCTAACAACAAAACGGAATCTAAATAAAGAGACATCAATTGTTTTTTCTTTATTTTTCCAGCAGAATTTATGCCTAGACGTTTCATAGTTATATGAGCTAAATCAGCACAGAACATTTCTAGTTGCTTTATTTGGTGATTTTGTAAAAAAAATGCATTGCTGAAAAGTATATTTTCTAGGTTTATGTAACCATTGCATATAAAATCATGAAAGAAATTCCAAAAATTAGGGAAAATGTAAGTGTAAGATGCATCTTATCTCTTAGATTGAAATGCAGCTATTAAAATGCAATTCAAAAAATATTCAGTAACGTGAAGCCAGCACGTTCCACATGATTTGCAAATTATTTTGCATGACGATGGTGTCGTTGACCGGATGAAAACGATCATATTTTTCCAGAAATTCTATGGCCTTCTTCTCATAGGACAGAACTTCCGAACGAGTCAGCTTTCGAAAGCGCTTGATTGTCATTGCGGATGGCTGTAACCCGAATTCGTACAGTGGATCTCTCGACAAGTTGACCTCATTCGTTAACGGTGTCCATAGTTCACTTGTACACAAAAAACATTCGCACTTAAAGTGATAGCGCTCGTCTAGTTCTCTCTTCAGCTCTAGAGGTTGTTCGAATGAATGATGCCCTGGGCTAGAGAAAAATAAAATTAGTTGCAATTTGTGTGATATGATGGAAAAAAAAGTAAAAACATACACATAAGATCGGAATATTTGTTCGCCTTTCTTAATAGGACGGATCACCTTGCAGATCAAACGACCATCAACGTTAAACCAGTAGACGTTCGGTACGCAAGAATGATTGATGTACGAACCAAATGGATAGATGCCCCTTGCAAATTGTCGCTGCTCATAATTTGCCATACGCTCGCCATCACCATCTTGGCCATATTCAAATAATTCAATTGCATGCTCGGCCACATGAAATAGATGCAAAATCAAGTGTTGTAAAAAACGACGATGCGCCGTGGATCGATATTTTAGACTGAATTCGTCGTATTGCATAAGTACGTTTAAAGTCACACCGGTGGCAGATCTCAAGCAGGTTAATTGATTTGCCGATAACTTTTCGTGGTTGTGGGCAAGTTGGAAAAGCGAACAGAAATTCATCTGAGATGGTGTCAGATCAGTTGGCGGTTTTTTGTTTTCGAGCAACACTTTCACTAGTTCATTCAGTGCATCAACATCGGGAAAGTCGGCGTTTATGTTGAAAATCATTCTCATAATCAGATCAAATGTCTCTTTACGCGATAGCGCTGCAGGTCGGTTGCATTCCTGTTTGTGAAACGATTTTTCCATGCATCCTTCGTTGCAAAATATCATACACATGCAATTCTTGCATGCGATGAAATTCATGCATGCCTTGTAACAATACAAACACCGAGAACGGCCCGTATTCTTTCTCGCTGGCACGATCGAATATCCATTTTCAACCAAAATCGTTTGTCCAATTTTCAAATCGCACGTGGTGATTACATGACGACCAAATTCATCGTTTTTTCGGATTTTCAGGCAATCAGCTACACCAGCAAAGTCCTTATGTTCGTTGAAACTTAGCTTTGGCTCCCAGATATCGTGTGGTCCTGGCTTGAAATGTTCGTCAGCCTTCAACTCGGTACATTTGACAATGCGTGCATCCAATTTGCGCATCAAGCTACCGGGATAGTTATGCCTTTTTGCCAATTCGATGTCAACCAAACACTCATCGGGCATATTTAAATAGAAAAAACACGAAGAACGATTGGCAAATGCAAGTCCCAGCTCTTCAGTTCCAGGTTCGGCAAATGATACACTCCCATTAAAATGTTCCATTGCTTCAAAGTATTTATCTTGCGCAAATTTGGCCTTGCCTTCTTCACGCGACAAATTGGCTGCTCTGTTATTTTTGTGGAGCTCCGTTGAAGCCATGATCTCTCGATACATCTGATTAATCATTTCTTTTGTCACGTTGGGATGAATTCGGTGACTGCTGACATCAAATATATCGATGTACAAATCCGAATTTGGTCGCACGTTTTGCCACAAAATATTCAATGGTCGCTGCATTTTGCCACTGTATTTGACACTTGCGTAGTAAGAAAAGAAAGCAATGTTCACATAACTCGTAATGTTCACACGATGACGATGTTAGGAGAACTGAATATCATGCTAATGTCAACTGCTAGTGTCAAGTTGTCAAGTTTCTGTTACGCACACACTCGCACAGACATATGAGCCGGTAACGTACACTTGAGTGTGTAGAGTGTGTATACATATGCTGACGGCACATTCGATTTGAAATACAGAACGAATTTTGTTTTCATAATTTTTTGCTTACTTGAAGTGGTATCGGGGTTTTAGCTCCAACTTCATGTTCTACGATGGCTTGTATGAATGTATTGCAAAGTCATAAAAAATCTGAATATGATTTAAAATCAAAAGATCGTTAAATATATTCTAAGAATAGAATCCCATGAAACAAATAAAATACGATTATTCTCTGTTTTTGATTGCATTTTATGCCATCTTACGCATAATCTCGACCGGAATATTTTTTTTCCGCGTTTTTTGAATGATTCATATGGCCTTAAAGATCGAACGATCATCGTCGTTTAGCCGACCAATATTCAAACCTTTCATCTTTTTGACTCTCGTGTTCTTCAGAGCACATCAACGGATTTTTCAAGAAGAAAGAAGCGACGAGCGATTTTTTTTATAAACTTGCGAAACGAATATTTATTTAATTTTATCATTGTTGCTTATTGTCTAACATAAATGCGTCTTAGAAATTTTATTGTGGAAAATAATTGGAATAATGATTGTAGAATCTATTGTTTCAGATATTAGTTTAGAGTTATTTTTAAACTGTGAATTACATTTCTCGTTGTTTCGAAAGATGAACGTTTTCTGAAAGTAGATTTTCATCGATCATTTTTAATGATTAAGGCATACATTTTTATGACTGATTCTTCTGAAGCAAAAAATAAATCATGTGAACAATGGTCGCGGAATTCGACAGTCCAGTGTTTTTATGTAGGCATCAACTGCTTCCCCAATTTCGTCACACCATTTGATCTGGCCGTACTTCGTCAAAAATGCAATGCATTTTTCAATTGTATCTTCAATTTTTTGGCTGGCATACGGGCTTAGATTCGAAGCACTTGATAGAATCAGCGGAAAATCTGGATCCGTTGCCAATTGTTGTCGTTGATCTGATGACGCTGCTGCACCCATGCAACGGCTACAATTGCATTTGATGTGCACTTGATTCCACAGTTCTTGCTGCCGTACATGCTTTGGCAGCCCCAAAAACTTAAAATACGAGATGAACAATTCGTCACCTTTTTTAATTGATCGAATTGCAGTGTAGATAGAGATTCCATCACGTTCAGTCATCAAAACATTTGGCGCACATGAATGTCTGAAGTATTTTGTCATCAGTCCGATCTGATGATAAAAGTCCACACCATGGGTTTTCTGATTGTTTACCTGGTATGAGTTAAAGTTCGTAATTTGGATATGATGCGCGATTAAATGCATCAAAAAGCGGCGATGTTTCAATGAGCTGAACTTGGCGGCAATGTACGGTATGGTTTGGCACGCTTTGTAAATGCTGTAAACGAGTAGCAAAAAATCTGGTCGTCGAGCAAATTGGGCGCTGATTGGAAATTTCAGAAATGCACGGTACTTTGATTGATCATCTGCCAATGACATTGGAACTTCTCTTGGCGGTTCACTTTTGACGGTTTGTTCAACGAAGCTCATTAATTCATCAATATTCGAATGAAATATGTTGATGGCCAACAAAAGAACGCGTATTTCGTTCAGGTACTGGGCATTTTGCTGTCCGTCATCAATAAATTTCAAACCGCATTCATGGTTGTGCAGATCGTTGCTTTGGCATTCATCAGAGCAAAACATTACATTTGTACACTTTTTACATGACACCAAGTTGGTGTTGTCCTTTAGGCAGATGTTACATTTCCAAGCAAAACGACTGTACAAATAGACACAGAACGGTTTTCCCAATATGATCGTTTGTCCGACATCAATGTTGTCTTTAGCCACCATCGATAATTTGCCCGCATCATTTTTCTCGATCTTCAGAACATTGGCCATGCACGGGATTTTTTCATCCGGCTCGAAACTTAGCTTCTGATTGAACTCGTTAAGTGGTATGCTATCATCACGACCCTTCAAACAATCACCTTCACGTTGATCTAGTTTTGGCATCAAACGTTCCGGGTAACCAGCTTTTCGAGCCAAATCAATATCGATGAGACATTCGTTGTACAGCTTCAAGTGTAGAAAGCATGAAGCACGATTTGCATATGCTAAACTTATATGTTCAGATGCAGTTGTTGCAAAGCACAAGCTTTCATTGTACTTTTCAATCGCTTCAGCCCACTTGCCATTGGCAAATGATCGGTTCCCTTCTTTTCGCTTCTGAAGTGAGATTACGTCGTTTTTTCTCGGTACTGGATTTCGGTTCGACATCGGAAACATTTTGTCAACCATAGCTATTGTTTTACGGTCGAACAAATCCTCGTACAATGTATTTGGACTATTCGATTCCTTTTTCCACAACATGATGAAATAGACCGTGTATGAGTTTAATAAACTTATTCTGAAAATATTTCAAAGAAGTACCGAAATACATTCAAATCAGAATCGTTGCCAATTTTGGAAAAAGCAAATTTTCGTTTTCACCAATATTAAAAATCGTGCGGAAATATTATTGCAATATCTTTTATCCACTAACAAATGTATGACGCTGCTATTGCTTGATCGTTGTGAAATTCACTGATACTTGAGTGTAATGCCCACTGTGTGCTTGACGTTTCAATGGTAGAACTGTCAAAGTACTTGGAATGTGTTGAAAAGCTATATAAACGAATGCGATCATCTGTTTTATTCTTTATATGTGCGAGTGTGAGCACACGTGTGCAAGGGGGGGGTATTCCGGTTTTACCCCCCCTAGGATTCCAAAATGTGGACCCCCCCCAAGCGATTTGGAAAATTTTACACTAGATAGAATCGATTTTCAAAAGTGAGGACCTTTTTTTTTTAGTCCTCACTTTTTTCGGAGACTGGTTTTACAGTAGATTGAATCGATTTCCAAAAGTGAGGACCTTTTTTTTTAGGTCTTCATTTTTTTCCCAACCCATTTATAAATTTGCAAGCCGCCCCCCCCCCTGGCAAAATCATTTATCATTTTACCCCCCCTAGAATTTTTGACCTTGCACACGTCTGAGTGTGAGTGTGTGTATCAAGAATTCTCACTTTGACAAAAGAATGAAGAAGCCACAGATTTACTAATTTACCTACAAATTGGAACCTGTGGAACGAATTTTTCATTAAATCTCTTTATATTTGAGGAATTTAAGACAAAAAAAACATAGTTCTGATATTCATAGTACATAAAAGTCCATAAAAATCAAATAGACGGTTTGATACGTGTTATTTCTTTATTAATAAAGTAATTCATTTCGTAAATCGCTTAAAAAATATTATGAATGCATTGATACTATTAATTTGATATAAAATAAATGGTATGATTTTAAATATTGAACATACGTTTTCGCAAATAGGATGAATAGATTGACCAGACTTATTCATTCGAATGGCTATTTGGCCATCATTGATGGCATTGTGTAGAGACTACATCCAGTTGATCTCTTCCGTAGGTGATCCATATGCGTATTTATTTGGATTGCGATTTCCTTTTGCCATGAATTATTGTCGTATGTACGTAGAAAAGCAATGAATGCTTCGGTCGTTTTGTTCAATAGATAATTCTGGAAAATTGTGTCCGATGTCACCTGTTCGCGTTGTGTGAAAAAAACGTACATAGAAAATGTATTTTTATTTTTATCAAAAAATTATGTATTTTATATGATAATGTTCATTGAATTAGAAGATTTTTTTTTGTCTTCATGTTGAAAATGATTGTTTGCCTTTGTTAAGCCTTGGTTTTTGTCATTGCTTGATATATCCCGCCGAAGCATTAATTTGGTAGGTTTAAATTTTCCAACAGCATTTCACAAAGGATGTTCAAATTTACCGATCCGATTAGCCGGGTGCGTATGATACTTATGTAGGCACAAACCACCCTTCCGATTTCATCACACCAGGGGATTTGATTGTACGTCCTCAAAAACATTTCGCATTTGTCCATCATTGTTTGTGAATCATCGCGTCCACTTTTGGACACAATTTTCTGATAATTCGAGTCTGACGTGATGCGTTTGCGTTGCGTCCGTGAAGCGGTGTTACCGTCACACCGTGTGCAATTGCAAACAAACTGCTTGTTTTCCCATAGGATTTTTTGCCGATTCAATTTTGGTTCCATCAGAATATCAAAATAGAACATTGTCAGCTCTTGTCCTTTGCTAACCGGGCGAATCGTAATAATGACCGAATGTCCATCACGATCAGTCCATAAAACATTGGGCGCGCACGAATGTTTGAAGAAATGCTTAATCAAGCCAGCATGGCAGCACATTTCTCTGCGTTCGTTGAGTTGAATCGATGATCTGATGCGTATCGAATTATTGTTGGCGACTTGATTATGGTGTGCAATGAGATGCATCAGAAATCGGCTGTGTTTTTGTAGCTTGAACAAGGCATTAATTTTCGGCATTCCGATGAGTGTTTTGTAAATGCAGAAAACAATGGGGATGAATTCATCTTGTTGCGCACATGATTGAAGATACGGAAGCTTCAGAAATGCTCGATACTTTGATTTCTCATCGAGCAATGCGTGTGGCAATTCATTCGGATCGGTTGTGATAGCTTGTTCAACGAAATCCATGAGCTCATCGATGTTGGCGAACATGTTGACCACTTTGATTATGGTCCGAATTTCATTCATCAGGGCACCCAACATTTGATTATGACCGGCAAATTTCAAACCGCATTCATAGCCATGCAACGGGCTGCTCTGGCATCCATCGTGACAAAACATGGCAACGGTGCATTTGTCGCACGCTATCAGATTTGTGTTTTGTTTCAAACAAAGATTGCATCTCCATCCAAACCGCGTGTACAAACAGGTTGTGAATGCCTTTTCGACAGCGATCGTTTGGCCCACATCGATGTCTGTTTTGGCGAAAACTGAAAAATCACCATCGCCGCCTTGTTTGATGTTCAAAACATTGGCCATGCACGGAAACTTTTCATCGGCCGCAAAATCCATTTTCAAGCCAAAGTCATCGATTAGTTGTGCACCGGATTCTATACGTTTCAAACTATCCGCTCTACGTTTATCCAGCTTAGGCATCAAATCTTCCGGATAGCCGGCTTCTACGGCCAGTCCGATGTCAATGAGACATTCGTTGTATCGTTTCATGTTGAAAAAGCAAGCGGACCGATTTGCAAACGCTAAACTGATATTTTTCGATCCGTGCTTAGCGTAAGAAAGGCTTTCGTTGTACTTTTCCATTGCTGCGGCCCATTCACGCTCTTGAAACAATTTATTCCCTTCATTTCGTTTTTTCTCCGATTTTTCGTCACTTTTCTCACACGTTGAGTCCTCGTAATGCGATTCAATCGCAGAGTAAAAACGATTCAACGCTGCATGGCCCTTTAGAAGAAAGAAATCGACGTACAGTGCATCTTTTTGGCTTGACTCCTTCTTCCACAACATGGTGCAAACGAAAAGTGATTCTTGGCTTCGATTAAATCGTGAAGTTTACCTAAAAATGTGTACAATTTCAATGAATTTTTGCCTATTTATACATTTTTTTAGAATTCATATGGGCACATACCTTGAAATACGATTTGGTTTTGAATAATTGCTTCACTCGTTTTTTTACGTCGCTGTGACAAATGAATCGGTGCACGTTGTAGAAAATGACAGCTCCAAATTGAGAGAAAATGTTCTGCATTAGTCTCGCTTATGTGACTTCGGCCGTTTAAGTTTGCGTTTACACCATACACACACAAGTAGGTACAAATACACGCTTTGCCGCTTGTTACTGTCCATGACATCAGCATATCGATACGAATGTGTTGGGTTTTGCTGCATAAAACTTCTTATTACTTGACGCTGTATTGACAAACTGATTGTCAAAACGTTTTGTCTAAAACAGTTCGATGATAATTTTGTATGTTGCATACTTTGAATGAATTTGCATCAAGGATCGATTAGAGATGAACATTTTTGTGATTAAAATAATTTATCTTTCAAGCAACCGTTATTTTGTTGGATAAATGGGGTGATCAAGTGAGTAAATGAATGAAAAAAGTGTTCATGTATATAAAATGATGTCATTTTTGGGTAGAAATAAAAATGTTGTACAATCCATGTGCTCAAGCAAACGATGTATAGCTGACCTTCGAAATTTAGTGTGAAGAAAATAAGAATAAAATCGAATTTTTTCTTCGTAGGTACATATAATAATGGAGCGTTCAGTTGAATGCGATGCTGACCGATGTTGAGATTTTGCCGCCCGTCATACCACCATACTCAAAGCGAGTATTTTTCATCATTGGCAATGAATTCAGCAAATGACTCATGGAATGAGAGGTATTTAGCGGAAAAAATTTACAGTCTATTTATGTTCCTCGGGATAAAATTTATCCCGGAGTATAAAATGCAATTTATACCGAGGGATAAATTTCGAGGGATAAAAATCGCAACTTATCCCTCGGACAAAAATTCATGCTGAACATATGAAAAATAAATGTTTTAATAGTTCTCGTTGTATGTAAATGAAAGCAGAAGTGGTTTTCTTGTAAAAAATTCATAATACAGATGCATGTGATGTTAGACTGGTCCAGAATTTTTTTTTCCTGAGATATTCATATAAATTTCGAAAATTGCCCTCAAAAAAATAAGTTTGACATCAAAAACTTGGAAAACGTAGAAAAAAACCACTTTCCAAAGAGTTATCCATTTTTTCATTCCACTCGTTTCGGAAGCCATTTTAGATCGCAACATTTCGACCAAAATAATTTTTCCAAACGACTTTCGGCAAAAACTGATGATAGGGTTTTGTTTATCTCGTCAATATATATAACTTTTGCCAAGACATTAGCCCATGAAAATGCATTTTGGGCCAATTACAGTGTGAAATGACCAAAAAAAAATTCAAATTTTCGGCATTTTTTACATTTGACCCATATAAGTCATCCAGATGGTAGACTTTTGTTCAGTCTTTGACTTGTATCGTTTAGCCAGAACCTGTACAAATATTTGGTTAGTTGTCAGATTGCGATTTGGATGGAATTTGGCGTCAATTGACTCAGACATAAAAGACCAATTTCAGACCAAAATGAGCAAATCACGAACATGAGCTTCGGTTTGACAGATAAAAGCAAGCGATTTCTATCTTTTCTGCCTTTGAACATCTAGTATAATCCTTTATGAACATTTTGGATACTTACACGACCAAATCGAGTCATGTTTTCACATAGCTCTACCCTCATATTCGATTGGTTCGATTCCAACTCTCAAAAAAATCGATTTTTCATCGAAAAATCCCTAAGTTTAGGCTTTTTGAGATTATAGCTGTGCTCACGATTTTTTTTATCAAGATATCGTAATAAACTAAAAATATCGTTCGATATCGTTATTATGATGGAATCTTAATAACGCTATCAACTTTTTATCAGGATATTAACTATATTCAAATAATAACGTTATCGGATGAATCTTAATAATATCTTTTGGAAGTTATCAAGATCGAATCCTGATAATTTATCAACATTAAATCTTAATAATCTTAATCATCAAGTTCTGGAAGTGGGTTTTGGTGGATCCTCAGGATCGACCAGAACTGCTCCCAGTTCTGGAAGTGGATCTGCAGGATGGACCAGATCCGGTTTGACACTGCCCTTGGCCCATACGAAATGCTGAGATGCTCAGCCATCGGAAAACACATGTTTGATGTGGTCTAATTATGTTTATTAGTTTATTGGGAATTCGCATTGAAATGTTATAACCGAAGTAGAAGTTCAAGGAAATTTCAGATAAAATTATTGGGCCAAAACCAAACTTGTGCAAATGCGATCAGCATGAAACTTTCGGAATCTCATTTTTTCGCCGAAAAATGAAATGCGAGAAAGTTTGAAGCTATTCGGAAGGAGGGTTTACGGGTACCACCCATACAAAATTGTCAAAAATTTGCTAAAAATGATCAAAAATCGATGTGAAATCGATTTAGTATTGTTTATTTGTGTTAAATTAGTTCAATTCTAAGGTCACGAAGCAATAAATATGGTAAAAAATACGATTGCAGCGAGTAAAAAGTGTATATTCCATCAGAAATGACTAAAATGAATT